ATTTTTTAGACTAAGCAGGCCTAATCTTCACTCTGTACTCAGTAATCTTATGCTTTATTGGCGATGACGCCCCCAAAAAGTCTGAATAAAGACTTTATTTCTTTATTTCTTTTCTGAAGCAAAAGCTTATAAAACGCTAACCATACGATGGTTTGTTGGATGTCATCACTTGTCATAAAAATGAATTGAAAAGCTTATTAACGCCCCGGTGAAACTTAGACCTACTTAGGCTTAGATGGGAATTTTCCTTGTTTTTCTTRACATACATATGAAGCTTATTTTGGCTTACCATCTGAAATTTGAAGTGAATTCTTTATAGTGACTCCAATGGTGAGGCTAATTTTTTCTGAATCTTAGATTWTCATTGATTCGTAAGAAATTGTCCTAAAGAAAAGAAAAGTGAAGGAGAAAGAAACGAAAGTTGGACYTCCTGTGGCGATTTCACCGCGCGCATATGGGACAYAATCYCATTTTACCCTCCCMTCCCTRAGTTATTTGMTGCACTTGACCCGAACTGGTTTGGGTTCACSGGTAATGGCGGAGAAGTGTCCTTCAAATCCCGCTGATTGGGAAAAGACTCTGTAACCTCGTTACATTATGGAAATGTTCAACATYAATATTKCAGTAAACAATGCTAAGTATCTTATTGCTGGTTTTTGCCCTTAATTTATCGCTGAGGACAGTGGAACCCGAAAAATGTTTACAAGATGTCCCGGGTAAGTTGATGTTTATTGCCCAAATTAAGTTAATCCTAYGTCGTTCTTTCCAATAAGATCTCAACAAAATCAAGGGTCCCTTCTTTTATATATATKCTTTTAATGGCCCTTTCTAAATTTCCGTTAAGGCAAGCGTTAYATAGCTTATTTTGTCTACATTTCTGGGTAGTAATCGTCAAAGCAGCTGTTTTTGGAGTCCCCTTGTGCACTGTTCATTCTGAAACCTTGTCGCGGTYAATATCGGCACGTGCTAGACAAAAATTAAATTTTAATCAATAAACTTGTCTTTGACCGCTGCYTTGACCGGCAGGTTTATAAGTAGTGAATTACAGAAGTTTAACGGTAAAACGTTTTATTCTAGCCAGRTCATTGAAGCTGACGTTCTGCATAATCCGATATAGCGTGCCAAATTCGCTTTGCAAGAATTGATAACTTAATTTGAATTTGTAAACATTGGAYGGAGAACAAATGTTCAGTGCTCAGGACGGATTAACGTTTTGCAATAAAAAGAACGCTCTGAATATAGTACATCGTGGAGTTCTCGCTATTCTTTGTTTGTTTATCTTTCGTCAAAATGTTCTTGAGTGAACCTGTTCCTTGCATTGACAAGAAGCATCCTTTGAAAGTAGACTTTCCTTCAAGTCTTTTTACATTGTCAAAAAGCCCTTTGAAAAGTTTGCAGAAGCTTGTGCTTTCAACGTCCATCAAAAGAGGGTTATTTTATAATAATAATTCAAAGTTTGACCGGACATTGCCTCCAAAAAGCACTTCATCTCACCACCTGCGCTGTTTTGAAGTGTCCGCATTACAATTTCAATGGTTGCACAATTCACGGATAATTTAGCCTTCAAAAGAGCAAAATTTAATTACGCTTTTTACCTATTTCAACAAATGATTTTGGGGATAATTTTTCTCCCAAAGAGTATGACTGCACAAAATTGTTTGAATAAATTACTCATTTGTGTGAAAAGGACAGATGTTTGYTCAAGTTTGTTTGAACAAAATGAATTATTCCATTATTTCAAATAATCCATATTCCCCTGAGAAACAGGAAATAACATAGAGGAAAAAGTAATAAATGAAATCAGGCTCTCAGCATTTCTAGGCATCCCCCCTCCCCCAYCTAAAATATAAATCCTCTAAAAATGCTAAGTTGACACTCTTGTGACAACTTGGTGAGTTGGTTGAGCTTTATTTTTCATGTTTTTCTTTGTCTTTTTGGTGTATCAAACTTACTTACAGTAATTGTACACTCTTAGGATTATAGACTGGTCMTTCAAATTTTTTTAGTGTCAAGAAATCTAGACTTATTTTGCTTGAAAATTAAAAAACACTCTGGCTCAATGATGCAAGGRTTTCACCAAGTAATACTCCTAATCAACACCCATTTCTGACTTTCTTTACATGTAGATCCAATTTTCAAGAAACACTTCAAGGTCATTGAAAAGTCAATTCAATTAGTTCCGCTCAGACTTCGCTATGGTCACCACATCACACAACAGATTACTACTCAAATATCGAGCATCCTTGCTGAAGAAGTACTGGGTTATRAAGATATTCAATTGATTGACGATGCTACGGGCTTGACAGCTAATGATGTTATAAAATCTCTTGCTGGGTGTACCGAGTGAGTCTGCATTCTAATATGTTGTTTCTGTGGTTTTGATTGGTTGATTATWAGGGGATCAGTGATTGGTTGGTTTACTGACCAATTGCTTGCCACAATTATTTGATTCATKTACACTTCCATCAATCCATTTGTTTGTTTATCTGTTTGTTAATAATTTATTAATAATCCATTAATTGTCATTATTATTATTTTTATTAATATTCATCTGTTTATTTATCATTTCATTCAATCATTCAACAATTTCCCAACAATTTCCCATCCATTCATCCACAGATATTCATCCTTTTTTACATTTTTCATTCATTCATCCATTCAATAATCGAATCATTCTATTCTTCTATTCATTCATTCGTACATAATTTTATTCAATCAACACTCCATTCATTTATTTTCTGCCCATTCATTCAAACATTAATTGCGCTATGGCCATAATATTACATAACAGTATGTTTACATTATGGATAGATGCGCAGAAAGACTCAAAATTTGGAACTATTAAACATTAATATTAAAATATTCTTTCTGAAAGTAGAAATTTAGTGTATCCAGTTTTGATGTACATCATGTATCAATGATAGTTCATCTACATTTTRTTTGATATGCAGTCACTCTAATCCCCTCTGACRACCATAATCCTAGTGTTTAAAACAATAGAATGTTTTGGTGTGACATAATCATGCAATACCTGGGCAATTTAGAAATCATGCTTTCAATCTCTCATTCAGTCATTCATTTCTTCATCAGTCATAAATTCCATTTTTTATTTGAAAGGTGTGTTCAYGATGTACCAGCYTTCATGGTTGATACAGAAGTATGGCTTCCTTTGKCTTATCACAACWATGATTTAATGAAAAAAGGACTTGTTCTTGATGCTGGTCATGTCACAACAATTGGCAGGTATACAATTCAAGCATACAATACTTAAAATGTGTTGATTTTATTTAAAACTTCCTTTGTATATACAAAAAATACATTGATATTGATACATGAAACTAAAAGTTGCTTATCAATTTAAAAAGCATGCGAAATCGAAGCCCCACCTGCCCTCTTTCAATGTTGAGTACATTTTTATCTAATAAATGTTGTTGAGTATGATGTCATCACGTACAACAACATTATAGGTGGGAGGAGGGGAGAGGAGATGAGGGAAGAAGGGTAGGTCATGTTTTGAAATCGTACTAATTAAACATCAAAACAGTGATGGTGCTGTAAAGTTTGTTGATTATTGTAGTATGTTATGCTGTATAAGAATTTCCYTTTATATTCATAGGTATGGCTGGTACATACCAACACAATTTGTTCAAAGCCAATGGACCCAAAACAGCGTTATTGCTGATCACTGGAGATCCCTTTCAAAGCAAAATACACTCTCACAATTAGAATTAAACAAAACAGATTTGCTACAAACACAAAATATCAGCGAAATAATCCAATATTGTGGTGGGAAGACATCATGCTTAAGCAGGATTTCATCCAATATTGGGTGCAACAAGACATCATGTGTAATGATGCTAGCTGACGTACCAGGTTAGTTGAGTTTGGAATAGTGATGGTGACAGTGGTAATAAGGGTTATTAATGATGGTAGCAATAGTGTAGACCATTGATCAACGTTCTGCTGTACATTGAGTACTTTTTATAGCAGTCCGAACTTGTTGCACAGCATTTTGATGTGCAACTGCACTGTCATCTTGATTGCAATCCTTCCAACTTTGATTTATATTTGCTCAATTTGTAACAAAATTTTTGAAGTGAAAAGTTGGATGAACTTGAAATGTGAAACATTGTTTTCAATCTCAACCATCCAGACACAATGCTGCATT